TATAAAATTTCTTTTCAATCAATTTCACTGTGCCTCTAATACGTCGTTTTTATATATGCAGCTAGAGTATATGCAAGTATTATTTTATTAACTAGCAACATTATTTATCTGCTGGGTGATGGAAGGCGGTAGCTGGCAATATAAATATAATACTAGAAGTTCTTAAGATATAAATCTTCAGTTCCAATTTATTTTAAGCAAACAAATGTTTGCTAAAAAGGACATCACTGAAAATTTTATTAATCTTTTTGTAAACGTAAAGTAGACTTGAGCGCTTCCTAATACAAATGATAATACGATAAAATGTTGTTTAAGCAAAGTCGACAGCTAATAAGCTTTCTATTCTTCATAATCTTTTAACATTTATTGTTTATAAGCAAAAATGTTTGCAAAAAAGAAATCACTGATAATTTTTTTTAATTCTTCATTATCTTTTAACATAAATTGCTTATGATGATAGAAGCTCCTTAACCTTTTCTAGCAGCTTAGAACAACCTCTCGATTCTTTGTTTTAAGATTACTTGGTTACTCGATGGTTAAGATCAATTTATCTCATTAGTCGTTTGTCATGATTAATTAATTTTATCACAGTTGCAATTCTATGTTAATATTATATCATTCCACTAGAGGTACCTATAAAAAAAATTGTACACTTTATAAAAAATGTTATAAAGTAATAAGTTCAAGATAATGTTTTTATTGCTTTTTTACTAAGCTTTTTTACGCTAGATATCTGCAGGTGGATCATATAAAATATTAGTTTGGCTACAATATACATATTTTTCTCAAAGGTTATTACGTCCAACTTGAAAAGAAGAACACCCAAGTAAATTCGCATTATTTTGTATGGCTAAGCCTTTTCGAGCAATATACTATGATACCCACTAACTGAATGGTAGAGATTTTCTTATGGTCCAAGCTTTACGTACTTTATAAGAAGAATTGTGATATACTAAGTAGATATAAACAACTTTTCTCTTTTAATCTATAAAAACAGCTAAGATAAAAACAGGATGTATTAATATTGAGGCCACACCTTTACAGGCTAATATAATTTTTCGCTCTGTATAACTCAAAAGCAATACTGGCGGTATGTTTTTAAATGAAAATATTTTTGTTTGTATCAGTTCTTTACTACTTAATTTTAACTATGGTAGAGGTAGATGATTGATAATCCAGACAAAATTTAAATGGAATTTTTGGTTGGTTGAGTGACTAAATATTGTAGCCAAGGAAAAATTTATAGGGCAATTAACACCGGATGAATTATGTTTTTCAGCTTTTAGCCTTTTTCTAAGTGTATAACCAAATAAATTATGGATCTTGTAAGCTAAATAATAATAATAATAATAATAATAATAATAATAATAATAATAATAATAATAATAATAATAGTACACCAAAATTTTACGCAATTTTCTTAGTAGTTAATACATTAAACAAAGAAGAAAATTTCCTACCATTAAGCATAAGATATTTAACCGCTTGCACATAAAAGTAATAGGTAGAACACTAATTTGTCTGTATTATTAACAAAAGAACATGTAAAACAGGTTTCTAACCCTTAATTTTTTCCTACTCTATGACAAGTGAATAACCGTTTTTTCCAAAAATAATAATTTTTTTTTTTTTAAATCCTTATTTTATTAGAACAAACTCAATTTTAAGTGGCTACTTACTAGCAAATTTTCCTGAGTTACAAGCTAAAGAAGTGTAAGTATTACGGTCTGCAAAAAATTGTTATGTCATCTGCCAATTAATTCATTAGTACATGCAATTAATAAGAGGAAAATTTAAGAAGTCGTTAGGATAAATGTTTCAAAATTAGATTACGTATACGCGTTCAACGAATTGGTATATATTTTACTCCTACCCTCCTTGTTCTCAATAATTTAAGCCTACCAACTCAAACATCGTAAAATATTTTTTTACCATAGTTTTTAGTCCGTCCGATTTAACAGAGACTGTGCATAGTGTTGCCGACTTTGAGGTTATACCGTCGCCCACGATTGTTATATAAAGTTACGTTTTACATTTTAGACATACAAAGCAGCCTTCTCCCCGCAAACTTTACAACTTTATTATTATTATTATTATTATTATTATTATTTATTTTTATTTTTATTTTTATTATTATTATTATTATTATTATTATTATTTTTATTTTTATTTTTATTATTATTATTATTTATTTATAATCAATTTATAGTTTCCCTCGTTGAAGCAGCTTTGGTCGTTGAGGGCCGCACTCTCAAAGCAACAAGGGGAGATGAAGATGTACAGTGGGGTTTGTTACATCACTAACATTAAAGAATGTTCAAAAGTTTAGTAAACACTGGGGGCACAATTATTACTTGGGCAATGTTTTTGTAAAACAGCCAAGCGTTCGTTACAGTCGTCTTGAGTAAATACGCAAAAGTAGGCCATTACCACTTGCTTTGTCAAGTCCTTGTGGAGGATGTGGTTACCTGCTGGTTAGATTTTTCTCACTCCACTTTAAACCTTTCATATTTTAAATTTAATTTAGGTTGTGTGGTGGTTGTATTAGCCTTCAACACCGCGAATATATCGCCGGCAGCTATGTACTTCTTATGATTATAATTTGATACGGGTAACAATTATGATATTTTTTCAATTTATGGAACCAATATTTTCTTTACCATTTTGAAAAACCATACAAATCTCGGGGTTTCTTCAGCTTTGTGCTCTTGTCATTTAGGTGGGCATTTAACTGTTCAATCTTTTTAATTAGTGGCTATCGCACGATTATCCATGCTCTGTTAAAGAAAAGAACATCGACTCGAGTAACTGTTAAAAAAATTAATATCCTCTATGATGGGTAAATTATCTCCATATAACTGTGAAGATTAATTGCAACTCCAAAAGTAGCCGCTCCCAGTTCAGTTATTCCGTCATTCGACATTCCCCCCTATATAGCCTTAGATCGACTTGGGTACTGAATTAGGGTAGGTCAGAGGCCAAGGTCGGACCTTTTCTCTTTCTCCAAGAATACCTTGAACACTAGATTATTTTAATTCATGGACTGCTGGTCCTTCCTTTTTTAGTAAGGGTACAAGAAACAGTAGCGATGGCCGCTCAGTGCTATTTTCGCCTCATAGACTGGTTATAAAAAGCCGAGCTCTGAAGAGGACTGAAAATTTTTCAGTGTGCCCCGTTTCAATGTCTACTAAAGCTAGAACGGTGTATAAACCCCCGGCTTGACTTCGGATACTGGATAGCAACATTACTGTTAACAGCGCTCCCGCAGTAGTGCTCTAATTCTGCAATATTCCTCGACAGTTGAAGTAATTGGCGGAAGACCTCGCGAATATTAAGTGCAACAGGGATCTCCGAGCCAAGAGAGTACAAAAGTTCCAACAACATAGGCCCCATTTTCTTGTCAGTAAGGACAACAAGAGGAATTTTTTATTCAACGCTTACCTGGTTCTACTGGATTTGCGCTTCAAGGTATTTTTAAGAGGGGTCTCAGTTTCCAATTTTTCATTATTACGTCGCAAGTCCGTGCTTAAGAAGATTACTTCTAAACACCTTACGCCCCTCCTTGTGTTTTCGTTTATAGGAAGAAATTGCTTAATGGTAACCTAACGAAGCGAGCTTAACCAATTATACTGGTGCTTATACCGAGGTGTGATCAACAGAAACTGTTCGATACTGAGAACGGTTTTCCATCTTTAAGGTAGAGTGGAAGAGTACTGCTGTGGACAGTGCCATTAGCTGCCAGGCCTTCAGGCACAGTGCTCTGTAGTCTCCCGAAGATTTAAATGTAGCAACGACGACCTGAATGCGCAGTACATAACTGCACGAGAAGATTTTGCCAGTTGTGCAAATTGCGTTGAAGCTAAACTGCCATTCACTGTTGTTTGCCGAGGACCTACAACATTTGATCAAACTGTTCTCCCCACGCATCAAAAGCCTCACTTATTCTAATGTAACTCCGACGATTTCGTACGCCGCTCGCTTGGCCACAAAGACGACTCATTAACACATTGACAACAGCAAACAACACAACGGCAACGGTTGACAATATGGGCAGGAATCCGTGGCTAGGTCAAGGGAGTCCCCTTATCCGGTTTCTGTTCTGGAATGCAAATGGCAGCTACAGGAGTGCAGCGAATGTAATAGAGAGTGGTGGAGGCGCAGCTATTCCGGTAGACGTAACATTTAACACAATGTGATATCTCTGCCAGCCTCAAAAAGTAATTGAGGCACGTGAGGTTTCCCTTTGCTTAACCAGTCAGGCGCCCGTAAATTTCGCTTATAAGGCTCCAGATACCACTAAAAACCTTATACCTTGCGTTGTTTTCTATAAGTACCCCTCAACTGTTGTATGCAACGAACTTTACTGCAACCATCCGTGTCAATATTCAAACGACCGAACCCGGGAAACTTACACCGACAAGCGCGGACTGCGCGTTGCATATGGAGAAGACGTAAACCTCTGAAGTGCTAGATATCGTCATTCTAGCTGATATCCAGAAGGTTCCTTATGACCTTTCGTTAAAACAGTTACCAGTTTTGCTTAAAAGCACATCCACCATTTTATGGAGTAAACTAAATCCTCCGAGTTCCTTAGATACGGCCTTTCCAATGTCTTCAGCGTTACCGAGAACACTCGCTCTACTTGACGTTGCTGTTGCTAAGCACACCACCCCGCCTCGACGAGACGTAAAGCTGAGTAGCAGTCTGACCGCCTGCCTGAGGGTCTGAATATTTTTACCTGCAAAGTATGGCGGCCTTACCTGGTGTTTATGACGGAGCTGTAGCCGATGGGAGACAGAGAGAGCTACACTTGCATGCCTCGCAATAATGATTCATAATTTTTTGAACACGTTAGAGGATATTTTTAATTTTCACTATATCAGAGAATCACTCTCATAAGGTTTTTGTAATGTAAGCATTCAACAATAAGCACGCCTTTTAATCTTTAAATATTTAAAGTATAAAAAGTAAATCAATATTTTTATTTAGTTAGCATTTCACTAACTAATTTTCTGTTTTGCAGAATTTATTACAGAGTCGACTATTCCTTGCGGAACTATTTCATGTTTGAACTGAGTTTCACTCCCAATCCAACTCATTTCTAAACTAAATTCCTTATCTTTAGACTCATCGTAAATAGTATAAATTCTATATGAAAAGTAAAGCAATATTAATTAAAATTTCTAAAGTTTAAATATATCTAAATAGAAAAATTTAAAGCGGCTTAAAAGTCGGTTAAATGGTAAAATTCTGACTATTTAAAGTTTTAAAACAACAAGTGTAAGAAACATAAATTTATCATTTAAAAAGTTTAAAGGCGAAATATTACGTGATGTTTAAAATTTTGTTAATATTTAATAGAAAAAGTAAAAACTGATACTTTATAGCATTGTAGTAGTGACGAAAATAATATATTTTATGGTTCCGATCATCGTGCATAAAAGTGACCAATTATTTTTAATATAAGTACCCGATATCAATTCTTGATGCAATATACAATTTTTTTAGTAGTAAAGGTTTGAATATTATACGCACCATAACGTAATAAACCCCAAACAATATTATATATATAAATATACATAAAACATCTTTAAATATAGGAAAAAAATACACCAATCATTCATAAAACATAGAATAAATTTTCAGTTCTTCAATAAAACAATTAGAAAGCTTATAAAGCACCGATAGATTAATTATTTTAGTATAGAAGAGATAACCATTAAGGATACTTAAATCTCAAATAGCTCAACCATTGTACATTCAAATATTACATTCTACTAAAATTAACCCCGAAAAAAGTTCGTAATTATAATAACAGAATATCTGCTTGAGGTACATTTTTACTTATATACTAATAATTGTGTATGCCTTTCTGAAACATAGGAAGGCTCACCAGAAATTTCTATATTTATATGCTGATAATAGTATTTGTACACTTTTACTCCAAAGGAAGATGTAGCCTAAAAGGCTATGCTAACTATGCCTCTAGTAAAAGCTCATCTCTGGTTGTGAAGAACTATTCATAATGTTGGAAGACACGCAAAAAGCAACCAATGAAGTTGCATATAAATATTGCTACATATATTATCGGTGCATGAATAGCATTTACCACATTATTAAAACAATCAAGACGCATATAAATCTACAATAAATTACCAATGCAACTTCTAATGTAGTTGCAAAACCACGCAAGCATAGTAATTATCATATATGTATTGGCCAATAAGAATGCATATAAATCTTTCAATAATAAAAGCTGGGGAATAACATTCTTGCGATGGCCACGAGGGCCTCCTTCATTGTGATGGAGTCCAGCGCCAGTTTGCCGAGTTCGGTGCAAGCCTGCTGCTTACGCCTTCCGACTGCATAAGCTCTAAAGTTTATTTAAAAAAGAAATTCAACTTTTTTTTTTCTTTTTACAATTTAAAAAGTTTTCTCAAGTAATAAAAAATAAAAAAAAACTTGTAGCCAAAAAAGTTTCCAGAAGGTTCAAGTACAAACAAAGAAGGTTTCTCGTTTGGAAGATGCTTTCCAAGTAAAAGCGAACAACCAAACGGCCGAACAAAAGAGTACAAAGTATAGTTTTGTATGTACTGGGCGAGCCGCTGCGCAAGTAGCTAATAATAATAAGCATAAGTTATAATGTATAGTTAAAATAATATATAAATACAAAAAGTTTATAAGAAATATTATAATATTATTATGTACAGTAGAAAAATAAAAAAAATCTATAAAGCAAAATAAAAAGATTATATTATAATTAATGATACTATAATAAAAAAATTTATTTATGTTAAGATAATAAGAATATAAAAAGAAAGGAAGTTAGAAAAAAACAAAAGCGAAACAAACTATAAAAAAATAACTTTTAATAAATTAGTAAAAAATAAAATTTTTAATTAAAAAATACTCGAAGAGATTTCGATCTATTGTGAAAAAATAAAAATACTAAAGAAAGTAAGAAATAAAACAAACTAACAGAATATAATTATAAACATTATATAAAAAATTTTTAAGAAGTATTATAATAAAAAGTAAAGTACATATAAAGAAAGTTCTTCTAAAGTAAAAAATACGTATCTAAAAAATAAAGAATAAAACATGTAAGAATAAAAAAATAATTATAAATAAAATTGATTGTTTTATTATAAATTTAATAAAAATATAATTTCATATAAAAAATTATTTATATAGATTTAATTTATAAATTAAATAGAAGTATAATTTTATTTTTAAAACAATTTTAAAAAAATTAAAAATAATAATAAACTGAAAATTTAAAAATAAAAAAATAATTTATAGTAGAGCCAAAATGAAAAGTTATAAACATAAACAAAAATATTAACAATTTTATAAAAAGTCAAATGTAAAAAATAAATCTGATTTTAAAATTCTATATAAAAATAATAAAAAATAATAACAAGTAAAAAGTAAAAAAAAAATAATTTAATAATTAAAATCCATTAAAAATTATAATGAAGCAAAATGAAAAAATAATTTTTATGATAAAGACCAAAAAGTAAAAGTTCAGCAAAATGTAAAATAAAAATTCATAAGAATTTTTACAAAGTTATAACTAAAAATAAAAAAAAGTAAAAAAAGTAAAAAATTTATAAATAATCTTTAATGAAAAAAAATAAAAAGTAACAATAAATTCTAAAAATTTATAATAAATATTTAGTGTTTAAAAAAATTAAAAAAACAAAAATTTTAAATTTTCAAAACATAATTGGCTAATAATAAATAACATTTATTAAGAAAAATAATTTTCAAAAAAAAAGTATTATAAAAATTAAAAATAAATAAATTAGAAAATAGTAAAATATTAATAAAGTAAAACCAAATTGATACTTAAATTACAAGGACGTGAAAAAATAATAAAATTCATTATAAAAATAACTATAATAAAGTTTTAGTATATTTTAAATTTTTGGTTAAAAAATACTTTTTACTAAAAATTAAATAAAAAAAATTTTGTAAAACTAATTAAATATATATATAATATTCTTAAATAATAATAATAAAAGATTTATTAAATCAGATTATTATATATTTTTTTTAAGAATAGGAAAGAAATATTTAAAATAGTTATAAACTTTTAAAAAAAATTTGTAAAAATTAAATATAAAAAACTCTAACGATGTAAACTTTGATAATGATTATAATAAATTTTATAATAGCAATAATATTTATAATAATCTAAAACTTTTTATACTACAGAAAATAAATAATAAATAAATTTCCTTTATAAGTCAATTAGAAGTCAATAAATGTATAAAGCCTTTTAAAGAAAATTAAATAATTTATAAATATAAAAAACTTTATAAGAACAAATTTTAATTATAAACAAAAAAAATAAAAGATTTCATTAATTATGAAAATTAAAAAAAAATATAAAACTTATAAAATTGAAAATATATATAAAGAAGATTAAATTCGAAAACAATTTATAATTATAAACTTTTCCAGAAATTTCTCTTCCATAAAAAGTTTTGAAATTGGAAGCTTCAGTACGAGCACGATTTACTAAATGCCGAGCATCCGCTGCTAACCCCGAAAAGCTCTAATAATAGAATTCAGATTTATAACTTTAAATATAAAAAAAATTTATATACAAAAGGAACAATATAATAAATATATACTCTTAATTAATTTTAGATTTTTTTAATTTATAGTAAAATAGTATTAAGAGATTATAGTTAGCGCGAGTAGAAATAAAGAAAACTCTTAAAAACTTTAATTTTTTTTAAAAATAAAAAATCTTAATTCCGAATAGAAATTAATAAAAAATATAAAATTAATTTTAAATTGTTTATTATAAAAAATTATATCAAAGGTTTATTTTTCTTAAGTTAAATTGTTTTAATGAAGGCGAAATACAATGAATAAATAAAAGCTTCATAAAAAAATAAAATGATTTATTTTATAATACATCCGAAAAACAAAAAAATAAATCAGAATTACAGGCAAAATTATGAGTAAAGCAAAAAATAATAAAAACTTTATTATATTAAAAAAATTTATAAAAATTAAAAGGAATGTAAGATTGGGTGAAAAAATTGAAAATATTTATAAGTAAAAATAAAGTAAAATAGAAATTCTATAAAACATAGTAATAAAACTTAAAATGCGAGAATAAAAAAATAAAAAATAAATTCAAAACTTGGTTAAAAAAATTTTTAAAGGAATTAAAAATATTAAAAAAAAATATTCTCAAAATAAAAAAAAATAAATTAAAAACAATAAGAATAATTTTATTAAAAGTTACGCAATTCGAAAATTTTGAAAAATAATTATGATTAATTTATAGAATATTACGAGGCCGGTGTGCTTGTCAATAGTAAAGTTCCGATGATTCGAAGAAGTTTCGAGAAGTTTCGAGAAAATAATCTTCTCGACTCCGAAAACAACGCCGTCTACGCACCTGATAGCCACGGCAGTTCTATATAATTAGACTTTTTAAGAAAATTATTGGTGAAAAATTAACGAATAATAAAAGTAATTATAATAATAAAAAATAAAATTTTAGTATAAGATATTAAAATAAAATTGAATAATTGAAAAAATCCGAAATTTAATCTTTAAAAAAAATTAAATTACTTACTTTACATAAGATAAATAAATAATAAACATTTTTCGAAGTTTATATAAATTTAAAAAATGATATAAATTCTTGACCAGTATATTATACATAAAAATTCACAACCAGAAAATTAATTATTCTTTTAACTCAAGAAAAATTTAAAAACTAATAAAATGTATAAAACCGAAGTAAAGAAATAAAACAAATTAGTAAAAATTTATATAAAAAAATTTTATGTATAATTTATACTTAAAAATATATAAAAACATTTGCCAGATTATAAATGATCTATAAGTTTACTTAGAAATTGAGCTAAACAAAATAAGTGTCATGTAATAAAAAATATTTAAAGAAAAAAATTAAAAGTTAAAGGCAGTTAACCGAAAAAAAGATTAAAAAAAATCTAAATTAAAATAAATTCTAATTAAAGATAAGGAATTATTTTTAATTAAATGCACTGAAAAATTGTTATAGTACTTTATAAATAGTAAACTTTGCTTTAAAATATATTATAAAAAAATTATTTTACTTGTATACACAATAGTTATTAAAAATAGTTCAAGAATTCTATTTAAATTAAAAAATTCCCATTTTCAACCCTTTTTTTTAAATTATATAAAGCAATTCTGATAAAATATTTTATTATTTCTTTATAATATAAAAACTGTAAAGTTTACAACTTCTATAAGGTCAATTCGAGTTTAAAATTATAAAAAAAATAATTTTGAATAAAGCAGATTTTAATTTTTTTAAGTTATAAATTAGTAAGTAATTTTAAATAAAAAAAAGTTATATAATGAAAATCTATATATTTATAAAAAATAATGTTGAATATAAAAAATATAAATAAAGCAACAAAATAATAGTTTTACTTTAAAAATTTAAGAAAACGAATTAGTTACTATTAAATTTATGAATTTAAAAAAAACATTATTATACTATTAAACAATATAAAAAAGTTACCATAATAATTTTACGAAAACCAGCAAAACTAAATTGAATTTTAAAACTTGCCTAACTTTGCTAAAAAAAGGCAATAAATAAAATGCATAAAAAAATAAATTAATATACTATAAAATTGAAAATAATAAAAATTAACTATTTACTAAATGTTCAATAACAAGGTAAAAAAGCCGGTGAATTTAAAAATATTTAAAAATTATAAAATTTATTGTTATTTAATTGGTAAGTCTTTTTTACTTAAAATAAAAGAAGGAAATAAAAATATAGAAAAATAATCCTTCACCATACTTTATATGATCAACGAAGAAAAAAATAAAAAAAATAAGAAAAAAATAAAAACACACCTTTAGCTTTAGTTTACTACCTAAACAATAACAAGTCGTAGTTCAAGCGCTACAAAAAAATACTGAAGTTATTAATAATGACCTCTAAGGCGCAATAACATTAAATTTTTAAAAAATACAATTTTATAAGATGAACAATAGAATAAAATTCGATTTATACTTCACGCAAAATAAATTATTAAAAAAAAAAATAGAAATATATGTAGATCCATAAAAATGCTCTTTTAATTAAAATATTTTTAATTAAAATAAACTAGTAAATACATAAAAATTTCCTTATCAAAATGTTCCCTTGCAAAATTTTAAATCTCAAACTGTTACTAATATTAAAAACTAAATTTAATTTTTAAAAAATATATACTTACCCCTAAATAATCTTATTATAATATTACATAATATTTGAAAAGTTAACAAGTTTAATATTAAATATAATTCACTTATGTTGTTTTACCCACTATTTTCAACTGCTTTTGCCGCATACTCCACCTGAAAAACTCTTCCATCCGGGGAAAAAGTCATCGCAGAAAAATCATACTATATATATTTGAGAAAATAAAAATGATTTTTAAAGTAAACCGTTAAAGTATATAAGAAAATAATAGATACTCCCGTTCCAAGAGAGCTCATCTTTTTTGTGTTGTCTTAGAGCGCACTGAGTACACACGGAAGTACAAGGTATAAGCTTACAAGTAAAGCAAATAATGTGGTTTAATATCTTCACGTTCCGCGCTGAGTTCGTTTTAGCAACTACTGATAGCTGTATACAAGTTTTGTATTAGGTACGTGTCAAGACGTACAATTTTTTTGTTGTTATAAATTAAAGTAAAATAATTGTCCTTTTACTTCTCTGACATATAATTTTTTAAAAAGTTAAAGTGAATAAACTATAAAGAACCATATATGAATTTTTAAGAAAATGGAATTCCATGTAAGTAAAAATAACTCTCCAAAATATTTTCAGTGTCAAAACTAAGTTTTACTATGTTGTTTGACATAGACGATAAATGTAATTACTTTTAAATAGCATTGTTGATCTTTTTACATTAATAACAAGGGGGGCCTATAACAATTTTTATATTGATATTATATCATTGATAACTGAATATACAGAGATTTAGTATGTTTTATGTGTGAAGAGTCATTTTAATAATAAACTATGTAGTCTGTTTATGAAACTACCGTGTAATTCTTACTTGTCACCCTTATAAAAATGAGTGCTCTGAACTTAAAGGCCTACTAACAAAAAAGTTTGGCTTAAGTGTTTTAGGTTAATTAAGTATAAATTCCTTGTAAGTTTCAATTGTAATGTTTACTACTATGTAATAGTATTCAGTCTAGAACCTCAAGGTAAAAATAACCACACGTCAGCTCGACGGCAACACGTCGAACACTCTGCTGTGTGCCGAGAGTTTCACTTTAAAAATACATGCGGTCTGTTATGCCTTAGTTTAGACATACGAAAAACCGTTGGCGTCTGTCCTTCTGCATTTAAGATCGGCGCGCCTTATGCGGTACCCAACGAACTATCTTAAAAGTAACTCCGCAACTTTTATAAATGAAACTGCTACTGCTTTGAACGTATCCATATACATTCGAATTAACCGTAAGCTCTAGATTTACGAACGCTATATAAAGCGCAGCTCTCCACGACTCTTATTTAAGTGCAAATATATATATATAAGCCATTATTAAAAAAGGTGATAAGTTCCGCAAAGATTTAGTTTATATGCAAGACAAAGTAGCAAAAACTGTAATTAATCTTGTTAATTTTAGTTAACAACTCAACTAATAACTTAGAATGCGAAGTATTCCAAATTATATGTCATCACCACCAGGTAACTACTGCTCATAGCAGGTTATGTTATCCTTCAAACCTCAGAGCCCTTCTAGCTTTTTAGCCACCATTATCTCAGGAGCTTCATTTCGAAAAGTTTGAGTTAGTATACTTGGTACATTCCTTAAAATATATCTGCTACTGTAGGTCTCCTAATTTCCTCAAGCACAATATCATATTAGCTATTTAGTTCTTATCTACTTTTGTCATTGTTTACGATAAGTTAAATAGTTTTATACTTTATATGAGCTTTTACTTAGTAAAATTAGCTGCGCATCCTTTTTATGGTAGGTCTACACAATATTGAATCCTTATCAATTGTAGTATGACTATTTTTTGTACGTCGAAAAAAGATGAATTTTTCAGAAGAACAAATTGTTGAAATTCAGGAAGCCTTTTCGATATTTGATACAGAGAGCATTGGTGAAATTAAATGCAAAGACCTGGAGTATGGGACTAGTATAGTTACTGATTTTTAGGATTTTATAAAAAAATTTTTTATTAACTGTGTTTACACTATGAGTTACTAACAGTAACTACTAAACATTACCTCTGCTTCGCTTTTTTCAGAGTAGCAGTAGGCTTATTGGGATTAAACTTTCAAAACGACGAATTTCAGAAAGACTTGCAAAAAAGCGGTTTAAAAGATGCCGAAAAGATTAATTTTGAGGATTTTCTTAAATTTTTATCAACTAGCCAGGTTTCTTGCTTAACCTTAATTAGTACATTCTTTTTAAAACCATCATAAGAAAGAAAGAAACTTTAAAAAAGAGGCTACAAAAGTTTTTAAGTTATTTGATTACGATGAAAAAGGTACTGAACTTTTTGTTTTGTACTTAATAATTATTATATAATTGAAGGCTATATATCTATTGAAAATTTGCGGAAGATTGCCAGTGAACTTGGAGAAAGTATAACAGAGCAAGAACTAAAGGTATCAATAAGAAACTAGAATAATAAAGCATAAAATTTTTGTGTTTCAGGAAATGATTGAGGAAGGAGACCGAGATGGAGATGGTTTTGTCGGAAAAGAAGATTTTATTCAGCTTTTAGAACAATCTAAACTGTTGCTATAAAAGAAAATAAAATTGTAATTCTAAATAAATAATTTTAGTAGGAGTCTATAGTTTTCATATTCACAAGGAAGTAGCCTAGCTGGGCCACCCTAATAAGTCCCAATAGATTAGCATTTGTTAAAGGATTAAAGGTAACACTGAAGTTTTACCAAGTTTATTTGAAGTTAATTTCAACCGTGAACTGTTAAGTTACTTTGCAGACGCTACATAATACTCTCCATACCAACGTACAAATCCTAACGCAGAGCTTGACTCAGTTTTTTCTTTCAAAAAATGTTAGATCGTGTGTTGAAAATAATACTATCAAGAAAACCAAAGGGTCTACGAGCCCAAGGTACTAGCAACAATGGAACCTCAGAATCGTTGAAAGTGATATGACTCAGAAGGGTTACGAGAAGTATACTATTTGGAATGATGAAAAGAGAGTCCTACCCTACTTTGGTAAAACGAAACTAAAACTAACCGACACTCTTGAAACGGTAGCTAGCTCCTCCCAATTAAGTAGGATAAAGCATTATAACTTATTGCTTTTATACTGCAGCTAAATGTCGGTGGCAGAGTTACCTAGCAGAAGCGACGGCTTCTGGTCCTATCCCAGAGAACAAAAATTCAAGGGAAATCAAACGAGGTCATATCCTTTTATCGTTCTACCTTTGGTAAAATAAGCTAGCTATCATTTAATAACAACAGTTAGCCTCGTTCTACTGACCTAAAACCCCTCTCATCTTCATAATAGTACCCTCCTTTTTCAGTCGCCTCTTTGAAGGCTTTTTACAATGGTAGATGCTATAATAGTACCCGTACCCGTACCTGCTTGCTTTAAAACATATCAGAGAGGGGGGCCAAGTTTTAACCTACATATATGATGGCCAATTTATATATGCGAAGCCATTAAAAAACAACAATTAAAAAACTAAAACCATGTATTAAAGCAACAAAAGCTCTTGTACTTTTTCTATGGTAACCTTCATTGTATTGAGAGCACCGTGAAGTAAGCTTGCTTGTTGGCTTCAACTAAAGATCTTGACAATTGAGTAGGTGTCTCTTAAAGTGTTCAAAGTACTGTAAGCTCACTTTGTAGGGTTTTCGTGGAATTGAACAAATATTTTTTTATTCTCCTTTTATAAAACGTACCGACATAAAAGAGTAATGGATCAACCACTACCGTAGTCCGTTCACTAGCGTGCTTACTTTTACAACAGATGCAATCTGTAGAAGTCTAATAGACATAGTGTATTCGATAGAACTCAACCACCTCAATCACTTGGTGGAGTCTTGGACTAAAGTAGATTTTGTACTGCATCTTTAGTCACTAAGTATGTCCACTAGCTGAGGGTGTTAGAGTAGTTTAACTCATCTAGTCCAAAGGCTAACATAATGAATGAGTGGTACTGTTATAGACTAATTTGGTGCAGACCTTGATGCTTTGGTACCGATTTAGATGTCGTTACTGTTATTATAGTTTCCATAACTATGTAAATCCAATATTTTTTTCCTTCTGGTTGCCTCATGGAGCGGCGCTAAATTAAAAGTACTTTAGTACTAGTAAGTGATAAATGATTTTTTTCTTCAATAGGGCTCTTAGCTATAATGTACTATAGTAAGAACTGTCTACGTTGCTACCAAATATTTCGTAAACCATATAGGAGAACCAACTCCCTTGCTTGGCAACACAACGATAAATAAGCGATTCGGGTGATAGAACTTTAACTTTTGAAAAAAAAAAAAGAAAGACCGTTTATTTCTAATTGAGCTCTCGCAAAAACCCTTATTCAGAGAAGAACTCTGAAGCCCTTTTCAAAGTCGAGAATGTGCTTGCATACTTCATTATCTAATTTTCCTTCTTTGTTCTTTCCTTGGGCTTCCGAAAATATTTATAATCTACAGTTAGTTTGGACAGTAACACTTGAAACCTCCTCTGAAGAACAAGCCAGCCGCGCACCCATATCCTTAGTATACTATAACAAATGATACATATTTAGTAAGGTTATCACCTAGGAAGTGTACTATATACGCGGCGGCTCTCATGCAAACATGACTCGAGACAGGTATATTCTTGCAATCACGCTGCAATCCACCTTAGGAATGGAAAGAAACTTATTCCAACCTAAGAACCAAAGCCCGCTGGAAGCATCCAGGCATAATTCAGAGGAATATACTGGTAAATAACACTTTTTTTTTAAAAAAAGAAGTACCTACTGCCAATGACATACTGGATAAGATTTTTTTTTTATAGAAAGAGTGCCTACAGCCAGTGAGTAGCTAATTCACCAGCTATAAATGTGAAACCATACCACCGTAAGACAAGGGGCAAGCGCACTGTTAAACATTGATGCTTTTAACAAAAGTTCGACTTATAATGTAAGAATTGCCTGTAAAAATCAAAGATAGCCTTGGTAAAGACAATAGTGTTATTGTCGTCGCTCCTCCATCGAACCTTACTTTACCAAATGTTTTTGACACAAATAACTGGCTAAAAGGTATAGCACTAGCAAGACAAAAAGTTAAGCAAGTGTTGTTCACATTTAACCCCATGGTTGACAGCTCTACCTAATCATCTACGAGAAGAGAAAATAGCAGAGGGGCAACAACGCCAGTATACAATGCGCGGATAGCAAGAAGGTTACGACAAAAGCCGGTCCGTCAAGGGCTGAAAATGGCAGGAAAGAAAAGAAAGCTGGCTATAATTTTTTTGCCCATCAGGACACAAATAAAGATAGAACCTGCCTGAGGACTTATGCAGTCATGTAGTATTTGCCATTTTAAAAGTTTGTCTTTTCATTACGCGACGAAGCATTTTTACTTCCTAGACTAATGTACATTCCAAAACCTAGAGCTTTGCTAAAAAAGGGTATTGTAATCACGGTCTAAAGGTTTTGTTTACAAAGATCGTCAGAGTTGCATTAGCCCGAGCATAAAAAAAATAAGTCTCTCAACAGTAGAGGGTGACAATATCAAAGCCAAAAATAGGCTTCCTTTCGTAAGCTCTTCCTCTTCGGCGTGTCTAGGTGGCGACCTATGATTACCTTTTGAGTTTTTGAGACACACGGGTTTTTTAACACCAGGACTAACAAGCTAGAAACATGGAGCAACCCTTACTCTATTAAAGAAAGTACTAGCTAACAGGAAATCCCCAAAGGCATAAGCAAACAGTCTAGTTTACCACTATTACTTCAACCTATAACGTTTTCTTGTTCTAATTTTTTTTAACGATCGCAGGCGGGCCCTAGAGGTAGTCATAGCAATTAACTGGCTTGCTAAGCCCCCAAGAATGGCGGGCAAGGACACATGAGCGGTTCTGATACTCTTAAGAGAGTTTGTGGAAAGCTTATTATTTAATTAAATTTATACAGTGAAATAATTAGTATTATTTACGAAGTAGATTTTTTTTAAAAAAAATATTTAACCAAAAGAAACATTTACTTACAAAGGTAGTTAGCTAGTAAATACCAATTGGAATCAATAGCTTGAATGCGACCCTGATTCTACCGTAGTCGCATCTCTTATTTTAGACATTAGTTGTCGCGACAGGCCTCTCAGAGTCCTTGAGTTCTATATTTTTAACTTTTATAATAAATAAGAAATACCGTAAATTTTTTGAAAACTTGTTGTTTTTGGAGATAATAGGGTACAGGTCACACTAAACTATAACTTTTATCTAATTTAAAAATTTAATAATAAAATTATTATCAGAGCTGTGAGATTCCCTGCGGTGACTGTAGGATTAATGCTGAATGGAGGAGTATTATGAGTGGCTTTCGCTGAAGAAATAGTAGATCAAGTTAGTTCGTAAAGGGGAGAACCAAGAGTACTTCCTAGTTATAAGATATTGTTAACGATATAGTTATTCTTTCTGTCTTGGGAGGCTTTTTACTCGCTGGGGACCATTTAGCCCCATGCACTGTTTTCCCGGGTAGCGACTACCTTTGACACAAAGCCCATCCGCCCTCAGAATGTTAATTTTACGAAGAAATGCCAAGCCTTATAAAAACTATTCTATCACAGCGCAATGATATTTCGAGAGGAAGAATTCTTATTATAATACTAGATATCAAAATTTAAATTTTAGGAAGAAATGCTAAAGGCATAAAAAAACTATTCTATCAAAGCGCAATGATATTTCGAGAGGACTAATTCTTCTTATAATACTAGGCACCTTTAAACTAATAAATTTTAATCACTGAAATGCTATATAATCCTTTGTCATGCAGATCCATAAGACAAGTTCGGCCAGTAAAAAATCACCAAGTAAGAGACTGATCGCGTTCCTTCTTGGTAATACTTGCCTGATCACAGGTCATTTTAGTAGTTAGCTGTACAGTTCAGCAGAGGGTGAAAGAAAATCAAACCTAAAAATGAGAAGAAACTTAGTATAACTACTAAGTTTAATAATGAGGTATTATCACGAAAATAGATTAACTCAGTTAAAGTAATTACAGGATTGTAAAAGTAGGCTCTGAAGTATCCGGATATTAGCTGGTTAAAAAACCGATTATGAAAACATCTACTAAAGTAGTAATAATACGCCTAGCTGAGGCTACGAAATCCTGATTGTATTCTGCGGGGGATCGTTCTTTGTTCAAAATTACTTTCAAAATTACTCGGTGACCGAGGACAGCATTTTATTGTTAACAGTTATTGAGTGTGAGGTTAGTTTTTTGTTTTACTTTAGTGAAACTTTACCAAAGCTTTACTACTAGTAATTTTTTGAGAGGTTTCAGTATAATATATAGTTATGCTTATTGTACGTAAAGCTATTAAGTTATTAGGTCAGAGTAGAGAACTTTGTTCGTAGCACAACATTTTTGCATAATTTCATGCGGCGAGGACAGTCTATGTCCATTTAAGTTATCCCATGGCGGGTGTCAATTTGCTATTAGCGCTTCTAATATCAAGTCAGAAGTCAGCATTTAAACTACCGGCTAAATTCTGAACGTATATCTATCACGTTGGGTTACTAATTTACATTTGTTATAAAAC